GACCATCCGCAAGCCAAGATTTCTTGTTAGATCTCTTGCGACGGCTCTCGTCACCAGATGACGACGGGTATCTAGTCAGCTTGTCCACTCTGGCATGGCTATCCCGGTACTCGTCAGAATACCTACGACGTCTAGACGGGCGATGTTTACGTGGGGCATGTTTTGATGTAGTCCCGGGTTCGAAACAATACTTGCAGATGCCGATGTATTCGGAGTATTCCTCATATTGCGCGACAGCTTCTGGGTCTTTCCAGAAATTTATAAACTTTCTGAATGGCCCATGGTGGCGTTGGTGGTAGGCTAACGAACCCGGTTGGCCTGCGTGGACCGTTGGGAAGGTTTGTTGGTGTGCGACACCTGAATGAGTGCTCGGTCTCTGTGGGAAAGCAGGCGTGTGACTTGATGCAGCGGCGTACCCAGCGGCAGCGCCCAGTGCAGCAGCACCTACCACAGGCATGGAATGATGCTTGTTGGGTTTCGGTGGACGTGCACCATTGGGCGGGGGATAATATGGTTGCTGGGGGGCGTGCGGTGCTGATTCATGGTGAGAAGAAGCCGATGGAGATGCAGGGTGGTGGGCATTGGAACTTCCAATCAGTGAGCCGATTCCATAAGTTGCTGCTGCCCCTGCTGCCACCGCAGCAGCCACTGGCGGTTTGCCTGATGCCCCTGGTTTGGACGGTTTGGATGGCTTAGGCGGTCTCTCCGGCAGATGGTGGACAGGTATGCCGGAGCCATTGCTCTGTTGCTGCTGTTGGTTAGTAACATCTGGTGGAGAATCGCCATAAAAGTCGGCTGCTTGGCCCACCTGTCCCATGGACGATGGTTCAGCGGGGGGATTTGGCGTTGACGAAGCAGCCATTAAATGCGGTTCAGCTCCAACAATGAGGGATGGAGGATTAGGCCTCACGCCAGGCTGCATCGCTACTGACTGTCCCTGGTCTCCATAATACTCCGCCGCCTCCCCAGCAGCTGCGGCAGGAGCCGGAGTTGGAACCATTGGATTCACCAGTGGCGGGCCGACAGGGAACTGCTGAGGCGGGTAAGAAGAAGGATGTGAAGTAGGTATTTGATGGGGATCTGAAGAGGGTCCGGTTACAGGCGTTGCTCCAGGAAAGGTATTATCATATTGCATAGGAAACTGTGAGAATCCAGGCTGTGAGATTTCCGCCATGAACTCTTGGTTTCCGGATGACGGTGGCATTGGCCTAGCTCGACTGCGGGAATATTCAGATGGATTATTAACAATGACTTCGGACCTTGCTCGCCGGTGCGAGTGAGGTTTATCTTCTCTTTCCCTCTCCCTCTCCCTTCGATACCTCCTATCCTCTCGATCGCCACTCCTGGAGCGCTCGTGATCAATGCTCTGCGTATTATAGCTTCTCTCGTAGTTGCGCCCATTTACAGACCTTGGGACGGGGCGATCATAATCCTCTTCGAATCTCTCTCTCGAGTCTGCCGTCACATAGCTCGACGTAGTTGATCTGGCAGCACTATCGCGACCATATCTACCAGAGGAATGGACGGATGAAGCAGGCGCATGCTGGTGGTCGTCTCCTCCTACACGGTCAATACCCCGGTCGTCACCCCGGGGAGTATGAGGAGTAGCAGTGGAAGAAGACTTGCGCCCGGAGGTTGAAGAGGATGAACGGTGGCTGTGATCATCTCTGCGACGGCGGGAAGAAGAAGAAGAAATGGTAGAAACGTCGTCAGAGTCTCTATGGCGGCGGCGGGACTTGGAGGCGGGCGGGTCAATTGCCTTTCCAAGCAGGCTGCGCAGCATTATGAGAGGGACGTGAGTATCATGTCAGCATGTGATGGGTAAGTTAAACCAATATCGCGAGTATCGTAGAGATAAGAGGTATTTGGTAGATATGGTTTAGATATTGCGATAGATGGCAGATCTTGGGGGGAAGCCAGCGGTAGTTAATAATAATTGTTTGTTTGTTGTTTACCAGCGGGCTATGAGTTAAACTAGCGCAAGATCTAAGTTAACTTTAGGGCTGCCGAGGAGGAAGTCTGGTTGACGGGTGAGGGTGGCTGGGGATCCTGGGGAACGCGGGAAGTCAACCACGGAATATACAAGAAGAGTGTGTCGTAACGGCCATAGATTCATCAGGGCGGGGAAAACGATACATATACACAAGAAAGGGAAATGAAGATGGAAATGAAGAGTTGTAGATGGGGAGAGATGGGGAGATGGAGGAGAGAAGATGAAGGTTTGGTGGTGGTTGGTCTTTGGGTGGCGACTTTGGAGGGATAACGTGACAAGGCTGTGGCTGGCTGGGAATGGGAATGGGAATAACATCACAACGTACGTGTGTATATTAATTAAATTTAAAATAATATTACAATAAATAATATTACAAATAGGTTGGTTATACGCATAGGAATATGGATATAAAACTGAAAATAAGGAGTATAGGCAGAATAGTGCAGCCGTTGATCACAGAGTATAAGGTGCCCCTGAACAATGCTCTGTAGATATACATCCTGATATACGGAGTAGAAAACAAATAAAATACATATATTAAAGTGGCTCATACAAGGACCGACCCGCCCAAGAGCTGTAACTTTCCTCCATCTATCCCTATTTATTATTGGAAAAGCTGCTATCTAATAGGCACTTTGCTATAATGCCATGTCCCCGGTACCAGTAGCATTATCTACCTCCCAGTACCTCTTCGCTTCTCTTACCTCCCCTCTCTCCGACTGATAAAATACATGAAACATTGTATGTATGTACCTCCTTCTCGTCTGACGGAAAAAGGTACCAACAGCTCAACGCTGTATACCGTCCATCGCAGCAGCGGCAGCAGTATCACCGACCTCGTCACTACCTCTTCCTCCTCCACCAACAATATCATACGCTGTATCTCACCGTACCAACTCTGGCCTCGTTCCCGTGAAATTGTTACCTTGAATCCACTCCTTGGCGCCCTGGTATGCAAAGACAAATTGCCCACACATGCTCGCGTTCGCCATGACGGCGGCATGGCTTGAAGGTCCCAGTTGCCAGCTGTTCCTGTCTACGCTCTGGCTGTTGTAGTCTTGCCACCAGAGATCAATCGTCTGGGTGTTGCGGAGTGTGAATAGATAAGCGTAGCTGTTTAGAGACCATACGGATGCGCCACCGTGGCCATCTGTGTTAGGGAAGACGGAGCCATCACTCCACCTGTCATCTTCTTCGAAGGCAATGGAGCTCTGAGTGGGGACAGTGTACCGTTTACTGCCAATATTGCCCCTCTGCCAGTCTGTGGGATTACCCCGTGAGTAGATATTTTGGATCACGTTCGACTTATCCAAGTAGAATAGCCACCACTATTGGCAAGATTAGCACGATTAGCAAGTCGACATCAGACAGCGAGCCGCGGCGAAGGCATGGTCCGTATAACCATAACTGACAGTTATAATGCCGTTGGAATCAGTATATGTGCTTGCGATCGGAGTATGCAGCATCGCATCGTCGAGTGGGAGAGTTCCTGCCACACGCGTTCTGGGCTCGAAGTGATATAGCGCAGGCTGGCATTGCCAATTTTGGTGGTATAGAAAAATATCTCCACCACTCCGAGGGTCCATGGCGGCTAATCTGGTCCCCTTGAGAACGCCATCCTTGTTAGGCGGAGATCGGTTGATCTGCGCCGGCAGGCTCTTTAGGTCTGTCAAGAAAGAGAAACGCAAAAAAAAAAAAAAAAAAAAAAAAAAAAAAAAAAAAAACATAATTAGTTGAAGTTTCTTTTGGGGGATCGTGGATGCAACCGATTATCCACCGCGTTCTCCAACGTTTTCTATCTTGCCAACCAGCCGCCGGAAGTTGTGGTCCTTCCAACAGTTCGTTTACCAGCGCTTGCTTCTCATGCAAACTTAGAGCCAGTCCTCGAGTCCACTTCGAGGCCTGGGTATGCTGTCGATGCGTCAGTTTGCAAATTTTCAACACCACACCCGCAAACTCCGATCTCAGACTCATCTTCACTTGGAGGTTGTGGTGGTTGGTTGTCTTGTAATTGCACCCTGAGAATTCGTGTGAGCCTCTGGTATGTATCTTCCCTTCCAATCGACAGATCGTCAGACTACATACATACATATGGGTATATATGTGTATGCATTTCAAAATCCTTGAAATGCTCCCAAATCCATCAAGGTTCTCCTGAAACAGGGAGAGAAAAAAAAAAAAAAAAATCCTCCTAGTATCAGACATATCATCCAGGAACTATTCGCTTTGGCTAACACTATCTGATCAAGCTTGCAGCTGAAAGGGTGAGGTTTGATGACAGAGTCCCAGGACTCTTATCCTGTTCAAGCTTTTTTTTTTTTTTTCATTTATCCCGTGTCTGCCCCATCGTCGTCCTAATGGTAAGCGATGCTGGCAAATTTAGTTACATCCAGGGATTTCTGGGACTACTCTCGAGGAATAAGCGGCATGAGAATAATCCGCTGGCTCTAAATCCTGGCTCTACTGACGGCTCTCACCAGCTATCATCTGCTTTGACACCACCAATCACCGGGATTTGGGGGATGAAGATGGACGAGACGAAGCCAGATGCAACCGCCGAGGAGTTGAAAATCGAATAATCGATTTCATTGATCGCCTGCCTAAGTGCCTCTACGCGGCGTAGTTACCGTACAGCAGGCGGCTTGGACGGCTGCCAGCATGGGCTTTGATAACGTTAGACTCCTGGCGCTAATTTACTCTCCAATTCATTCCCCCCCCGCCTGTGCTATTCTTATATCCATCCAAGCAACTCCGTTAAAACAGCTGTCTGTTGATGGTTACTTACTATGTTGTCATCCTGTAGGTGGTTCTACAATGTGTGTATATTATCATTGTCATTCTTCGCTCTGAGCTGTGGTGAGTTCCTCCAGCACCGGACCGCCGTAATCCTTTTTTGGGCTCGGAAATGGGAGCGAAATATTCAAGCAAGATAACCACTAATATATCTCTCTCAAGTCTCAAATAGCGAAGCCATTGCTGGAGGCGTCGACCTACGAATCCTACCCCTGGGAGACTCAATCACCTACGGACAAGGCAGCAGCGATGGCAATGGATATCGCTTACCACTCTACAACCTCCTTCTCTCCGGCGGGAACAAGGTAGAATACATCGGCCGTGAAAAGCACGGTTCCATGAGCAACAACCGCCATGAGGGTCACAAGGGATTCCCCATCGGCCCCGTCGGCGACACCGGAAAGCCCAACTACGCCCAGCGCCCCAGCATCGTCCTCCTCCTCGCCGGCACGAACGACGTAGTCTTCAAAATCAATCTGAAAGACGCGCCAACGGTGCTCGGGCGCGTCGTCGACGATATTGTCGCGGCCTGTCCGGACGCCGTCGTGTTGGTTGCGACCATTCCACCCATGCTAGACGCAAATCGCGAAGCGCGCAAAGTTGCGTTTAATGCCGCGTTGCCCGCTGTCATAGCGCAACGGAACAGGGCTGGGAAACATGTGCTCCTCGTCGATCTGGCGAGGGTTACCGCTCAACATATTAATGCTACTGATGGTATTCATCCGACTGATGACGGGTATAGGTCGATTGCGGATGCTTGGCATGAGGGTATCGTGGCCGCTGATCAAAGGGGTTGGATCAAAGCGCCCATCGCAAGGCCGGCGGATGGGGAGGGTGATAGACTAAAACCTAGCCCGGAAGCTACACCTATTGAGGCTGGATCCTCTGCTGGGTTCTGGACTTCGTATTGGATGTTTGCAGCGCTGGTTGTGGTGTCCGTAGGTGGTTTTGTTGTTTTCAGAGTGCTTTATTCAGGTCGGTGGAATAGGAGGCATTTTTGGCCGTAACCTTGGGTATCGAGTGCGTCGGTGCCTGTCTCTCTATCCCTCTTTCGCAGTTTGGATATGGTCGTCTAGGGGGCTCTATGCTGACTGCATAGAACGTTATCACAGGGTTTTCAAAGAAAAGCCTGTTGAATCAGTTATGTTTATTACCGATATTAGATTACCTAGGTGTATAAAAATTAATGGTACGAAGGGTAGAGCAGAAAGTTTTTCACGGGGAGAGCAAGCAATTGGAGACGCATTAATACTTGCCTTTTTAACCCATATCATAGGCGTGCAAGTAGCTGACTCGTTCAGGGGATACTCAAGGGATACGATTAAAATCCGGATCCAGTCCTTCGATATTATTGCTCCTAAAATAATTATCAAAACATGCATTTACGTAAAGGAACTGATATATAAAAAGGAAGCAAAAGACATCTTGATCCCTGCAAACACACTCATACATGGGAAACCCCTGACAATATCCTTGTTGACACACACACACACACACACACACACACACACACTCAACAACCATTACACTCCTACCTCATACTCGGCGGCCTCATTAACCTCTCACACTTATCCCGCATCCGATTCTGGAACCAATACGGAAACACTCGTAGAGTTCTAGCAAAAAACCCCGTCGAACCGGGCAGCATGATATGCCCACTCGACCCCGTCAACACCTGCTGCACCAACGCCTCCGCAACCGTCTCCGGCTCCAGCAGGGGATTAAAAAACGTATTCTCCGCATTCAGATCGCGCGACAGATACGTCCTCGCAAAGCCCTGCGACACAAGCACCGTCCGCACCTTCGGCGCATTATACCGCGTCACCAGCTCCGTCGTCAACCCTTCATGGAACGCCACCGCCGCACTCTTCGTCGCCGAATAGTCCACCATGTTCGCGCTAACCACATACCCGGCCTGCGACGCAACGGTGACCACCATCCCGTGGTTGCGCTCGATCATCTTGGGCAGGAACTCGCGCGCCAGCCAGTAGTGCGAGAGCGTGTTGACGTCGAAGAGCTTGCGCGTGCTGTCCTCCGTGCCGTCCAGGATCGTCAGGCCCGAGGCGATGCCGGCGTTGTTGATGAGGATGGTCGGCTCGCCGAGCGCGGCGCGCACCTCCGCGGCGGCTGCCGCGACGGCTTCGACGGACGCGATGTTACACTGGAAATACCGCACGTTGGCGGGCGGGTGGTATTTCAGCGGCTGGATGTCCAGCACGGCCACTTTGACGCCGCGCGCGGCGAGGAGGACGGCCACCCGTCGCCCGATCCCGTCACTGCCACCGGTCACGATGGCGATTTCTTGTTTCCAGTTGTACGTGTCTGACGTGCCATGGTTGAGGGCGTATCGGTTTATCAAGCCATTGAGGCTGCGGACGAGGCCGATCGCTAGGAGGTACTTGAGAGCTCTGAGACCCTGTGGCCGGGTTGCGGCAACTGCTCTGCCCTTGGCTGTGTATTGGGAGAGGAGGTAAAGAGGGAGCGTGAGAGATGGGGCCAGGGCGGTACTTTTGATGAGGTGGCCTACGACATCGGCTGTGAAGCCTGTTATTTTACGGATGATATTTGTTAGCGGTCAATTGGATTTTATGAGGGGTTGCATCTCAAGCCCCTTTGTCCTTACCTTCACGGGATGGCCAACGGCGAGATGCCATTATTAGTTTGAAAGGGGTGCAGTTGATACAAGGATAACTAATAAAAGGCCACAGGATTCTACGAAACGAATAATCGAATAAAAAAAAAAAAAAAAAAAGTTCTCGAAACGAAAGTAAAATATCAAAGAAAATAATATCAGCGAATATTTCACTGTTTTATCATATCCTAGTGCAATACCATAGATCCGAGGGACAAGCAAAGAACCTGGGCATGTGAAGTCTGATCGCGGAATCAAACCACCGCCGCTCACTGCCCAGCAAGCACTACTCCGTACGGAGTACTCCGTACAGCGTAACTATTTGTTTAGCGTATTGTGGAGAAGAAACCTTGGAAGCTAACTAACAAACTTATTAACCGCTTCCCCGCTGTCGACTGTCGGCAGAGGTGGCCCAGAAACATCCACCGTCCACGGCATCCTTGTATTCCTCCCCTCTGTAGGCGAGTGCATACTGTAGTAGACACGACAGTTGCCGTGCACGTCGTGAAGAGTAAATCTGTATTCTGTACATGCATGGAAACCCAGACTCCTGGTCCTCATTACCCAGTACCCAGCATTCCATCCCTGCGGCACACCAACGCCGACACCAACAGCCTGCAGACAAACCCTGTACGGAGTAGTACGGGGTATAGCGAGTCCCAAAGCCCCAATTAGAAAGAAGCGTTCTGCAGTTGGTGCCTCGGTTAATTCTCGCCAATAATTTTTCAATCATAATAATAATAAAGGGTGACCAAATAAGGCTTGCAAGAAGCATGACCCAAGTGTGTGTCCACTACGGAGTAGTTATTGTATTCAAGTCTATACAGGGGTAAATTAAAAAAAAAGGAAAAAACTCCCTTACCGGGCTATTCAAAACCAATTTTGTCGTCTTGACTCCGTTTGCCCGGGGCTCATTGTCGCCGTTTGGAATATACACAATCGTTGGATCCAATGGACCAAGAAGAATCAAATAAACCAAAAGGCTAAATGCGCGTAAAACTCAAACCCAAGAGGTTCGCGTTCAAGTATATGTAAAATAATATATAAGATCACAACGACCGCCCAATGGACAGGAATATATCCATATATATGATGAAATGATAGATGAGGGAAATATGGAGATGAACAAGTCCCCCTCGAGTCCAAGGAAGATCCAAAAAAACAAACAGCCAACGAAAAACTAAAACCAAAATTTAAAACCAAATTCAAAATCACACCACCCTGAGGACAAAGAAATAGGCCAGTAGATAATAACGAGAGCGGTGTAGAGTTAAAGGCAACAATGAAAAGAAAAAAAGGGTTGAACACTATCACATCGCCAAACTTGTGACCCAGAAGGGTCTCGTGAATCGAAAAAAAGAAAAAAAGAAAAAAAAACAGGAAGTGGATATCCCGCAGTATTTGAAAGAAAAAAAGAAAAAGAGCAGAACAGGAAGCTAAACCAAACAGAAAACATGTACATACGTAGCTCTTGAAAGAGAAAAATAGAAAGATCTTTTGAACATCAATAAAACAAAATAGACTGAGAAAAAGGGAGAGCGCATAGGCAAAAGAGAAATATATAGACTAAATCAGCAACGTCAACCCGAAGGGAAAAAAGAATTCATGGCGAAATGAAAAAAAAATTAAGTTAAAAAAATATGACTAAGTATGGAGAATATAGATGGGAGAATATGTATAGCGAAAATAGAAGGAAGAGAGAAAAGCACCACAAGAACCGCCAATAATAGAAATGGCGATGGTGACTTCGGTCACCCCTCAACGGACGAAAAACTTGTGGTCGGAGTATCAAATATTTTTCGCCGAATTAACGTCAGTATTTCGGCATCTTTACTAAGGGTCGGGGAAATATGCCGGCTTTGTAATAGAAAGTTGATTGTGCGGTCTAGCAATGCTCGGAGAGTTTCTCTGTCCACGAGCTGTGACAGGGGTGACATGTAGGTTGCGGATAAAACGAGCATATTTCCATATTGCCTAATTTTTTCCGTCAGGATTTTTGCTAAAATGTATTTGAAATAACTCGGAGTGTGCTATTTTGAACTTACGCGTGTGCCGTTCCAAAGATATTAGTGACAACCGGTCGTCCCGCGACGCCATCAAATGCTATCGTACTCTGTATTGCCGCGTCAATACACGCCTGGCAAGCCTTACGGATTTTCGAATCAAGCGTTTTGATAGACAGGTGTTGGTTCTCGGAGTGCACCACTGGCCTGCTGGGGGGGCCCATATCACTCGTGAGCCGCTCCATACCGTGTGGAAGATGAGCTGGGTTAGCCGACAGCGGCGACGCTTGTGACTGTGAACTGGACACAGTTGAAGCGCTGGGTGATGGGACGGAATTGGCAGTCCCTGGAAGAGATTTGGCCATGGGGTGCAGGGCATGGTGGAGTAAGGGTCGATGGATAATATAGCGAGCGCCGTAGTATTTCGCCCGCATTCGTGCGATGATAATATTGTCAGAAGGGGGGTCGGTTTCCTCCCATCGCATGTTGTCTGGTAGTCCAGTTCTCCATGCTTCGAGATTACAGCTTAGGGCTTCTTGTACTTTGGTCGACCAAGATACTTTTCGTCCCCTAGATTCAGGTGCTGTGAACACGTTATTACGTTAGTCTTCGCTCGTCATTCACTTTGCGAATTACGAAACATCGGCTGTAAAGCTAGAGTACATACTCTCAGCTTTGTATAACTCCGTGTGGACTCGATTCAAAACTTTCCGCAAGTGAATTTGCGCAACATAGTAAATCATGGTAAGAGGATCGGGGGTCTGTAGTTCATTTGTACTTATGAAGAGACCAGCTTCGGTATAAACCCGATCTTCGAAGCGGCTTATCCCGCTAGCCGGAAGATCCAGTTCGGCGAGAATGTCACTAAAATATATGAGCTTCAAGTAAATAGAATCGAGGAACCGTTCGTGGCTGTACCTTTCAAGCTGTAGACACGTCCAAAAGGCAAAGTTGATTAGCTCTTTCTGGCGCGTTCCCTTCGGTATACGATCAAATGTGCGGCTAATAGACACAGGTCAGTCCATCCATCTATACTTGGGGTATTCTATAAATGAAAAGATGGTGGCTTACGGTCGGAGAAGAATTTGACAAGCCCGAGCAGCTTCGCATATCCAAGCATGGCTTGAAAAGGGGCGCGCGACTTGCCCAGTATACAGGGCCGCGAGCAAGCAAGCTTGCGTGTGTTTCAGACCACCACCACCTAGCACATCACCTAGAATATCTGACGCCAACGCAAAATATGCTAGGCCAGGAATGATATCCAAGTTTCGCAACGGCGGGTCAGATTGATCCGTTGAGTTCCAGGAATCTGTAGAATGATGTGCTGCAGCAGAAAATCTTCGGTGATGTCCCGTTGACAATGGAAAAAACTCTTCATTTGGAGGATGGAATGCTGACAGTTTCCCGGAATCGGATAGGGTCGGGGAAGTTGTGGTAATTTGTTGATATTGTAAAGGGGATTGTGCGTTGTTGCTCCGGTTCAATGGCCCAGGTATAACTGTTTTAACGTCACATATTGAGCCCAGAGCCAACACAAGAAGGACAACAGCGTTATCCAAAGACTTGTGGATTACAGTGCTGAGAGCTCCAGTGTTTTCAGGAATCGATTCTGGGGTTACTTCAAAGGCCACTTCGGCGGATCGTTTTCTTTTACCTTTGGGTATTGCAGCTACTCTCTCGTTATGGCTTTGTGGTATTTGAGGTGAGAATGAGAAAGCGGGTTTGCGAGGGCTGTAATTGTTAACAAAATTGCAAACCATCTGGTGCAATGCCGATGCATCAAGGAATGGGTGGAGAGCGTGCATGTTATCTAGATAACTCTGATAGTATCTTTGAATAGTGTCCGCTTCGAGATTCAAGGTACCGTAGGGAGTTAATCCACCTGGATGCGGTTGCATGGAGAATCTATTGGTGTCAAATCCAGAAGGAAATCCAAAACCCGAGCCCCATACATTTGCACTGGCTAAAGATGCAATAGTAGGGTCTTGCTCTAGGGTTGTATGTGAAGTAACTGGGCTCTCCGCAAAAGTGTCATCGCCCTCTCCAATACCATACAACCTGAGGGGACCACGATTTTCTTCCAGCTGCATCACATAATCGGCATCGATCCTCTCAGGGAGCAGCTTTTGAATAGATGGCCATAATAGTAGCTTATGGGCAGCAGTCGTATGTTCAATTGGTATTGACAGCTCGCCAACATCAGAACCGTGCAGTTCTTTCATGTAATCCTCGGAAACCCGAGTTTCGTCGCTGTCTAGACGCTCAACCGGGGTTTGTTTTTCTGGTGATTTGAGATTGGCTGCGATAAAATTCGCATTTGCCTCCACCTTCGCGAGGGACGGCGTCAGATGGCTCTGTTTTCTTGGGCGAGTAGAACCAGCCATAGCATCTATTTGCGACTTGACCCCAGCTAAAAGAGCCTTCATCTCATTTAGTCGTGTCATCAAGTCTTCTCTTGCAGCCTTTTCTGACTCCTCCTGTCGGTCTATTCTTTCTATGATGATCTGAGTCGACCTCTCTTGCCTTTGCAAACAGTTTCACGTCAGGCTCCTATAAACCTTTGTTTGTTTGGGATGATTGAGACAACTATATAAAACTTACTTCTGAGGAGGAACATCCTTGTAGACGCACGGAACATTATTTTCTTTGCAATGACTACAAGCCGGTCGACCTTCATCGCATTTCGCTTTCCGTGAGCGGCATTGGTCGCAAGCCTAGACCACCGTCAGATGGCTCTAATCAAACAGGGGCAAAATGGGTATTTTACCTGCTGAGCTCGCGTCGTCCTTCGTTGACGGTTCGCTAGAGGCATTCCAGCTTGAGCAAGAAAGTAACTACTCGTATCATACAATCCTGGGGTAGGAGGTACATGTCCTCCAGAGGTGTACGGTTGTGAGGCAGGTATTGGTTGCATTGGATCACCATGGGTGTACATCGGTATTCCTTGAGTTTCGCCGTTGAGATGGCGCGCATCCGGAGGGTATCCCATCCGTGGCTGTTGGAAATTGCTAGGTCCAGGTCCAGCTTGTTGCGGTGGTGCTTGCGGGTGCTGCGCCTGCTCTTGGGAGCCGTTCATGGGCCGATACGAGCCAGTGGGTGGGTGGGACTCAGTGGGAGCCTGGGGAGGAGGAGCTGAGATACTACCTGGTCGTCCATACGACATTTCGGGAGGTGCATGTGGGTTGGTACGTGCCGAAGCCATGTACACAGGTGGTGCACGCGGGGTCTCACCATGATGTTCCGGGTTGGGGCCGTCATAAGTATTATATGGGCGCCACCCGGGTTCATAATGGCCCCGAGGAGGGGCGGGCAACCGATGACCAGGTTGGGACGCCGGTAAAACGTGCGCTTTGGACTTGTCCTCTGTTGCCATTTCCATCATTTCAATCGGCTTACCAAGCCCCAGACCATCTACTGGCCTTCAATAATCAATTTCTAGCAGAGTAAAATATCCAGCATCAGACACACAAAACACGCAAAACTAGCAGCATGGCGATTTTACAGAGCCGTTCCCGGTTTGAGAGCGAGATGGAGGGGTCTAGAGAATCTCAAGGACGGTAGAATATATCCTAGATTTGGTTCTTTTGCCGCTAACAAGAAATATTTGCTGTCACGGTACATGGGCCGATATAATCCAATCTGCTTGCTGCGAAGTACAACTAAATTGTAAGGGAAAAAAAAAAGGGAGAGAGATCAGTTTCTTACATCTAACCGGCGGAAGAGGAGAGAAGGGAAACAAGCGTTTATAAAGGAAACCGAGATTCTATCATTACCTGCAACAGCCTGACAACAAAGCGCTGAGGAGCCCAGCAGTTCGGGGACGTCACAATTCGCTTTCGCTTTTCGAATCCTTGGTTGTGGCTCGGGAAGTTAAAATGCTTGCACTGGTCCCGCTTAGTTTCCCGCAGGAACCGGCTGGTTCAACAAACGGTGCTGCAGAGCTGGATAGCAAGTACTAGAGATTGCGTCGATATGGAATACTATGCGCAGAGGGGTTGGACGGCAGAAATGGGGAGGGTTGAAGCGGAGGGGGAGATGTGTGTTCCCGACCGAGGTGGTGGAGGTGGAGGTGGAGGTGGTGGTGGTGGTGGGCGGATACTGTTGTAGGCAGGACAGGCAGGGCGAAGAGACCAGCAAATAAATGCCAGGCCAGGAAAAACCTAGCACGGTCCAAGGAACAAAAGGTAGTAGTAGTAGTATAGTAATATATATATATCTAATAATGAGAACAATGACAGACCGACCAGGACAGCAGCTGGGATATCCTCACTTTTTCTTCCCACCACAACACAAGCACTTTCAAGCGCTGGGATATAAAGTGGGCTGGAGGGAATTGAAGCCAGGAGGAATTGAGAGCAAAGGAGAAGTTGAAGCTTCAAGGAGAAACAGGCTGTAAATACAAGGGCAGTATGGTAAACAGTACAGTATAGTACAGCAATGTAAAGTACATGTACATGTTCATGTACAGTACAGCAGTGAGCGCCTGGCAGCCCAAAGTGATATATATATCAATTATATATCAATTATATGCCCAATTGCCAATTGACCGGTGCAGTACAGTATATATATATTACCAGCTGCCTGGTTGTCACTGTAATACATTTACAGCCTGCCCGCCGCCCTTGTTCATCCATCGCCTGTCAATAATAATAATAATAATAATAATAATAATAAGATCAAATGGCCGTCTGTCATTTGATCTGTATTTTCTTTTTCTCCTGTTATTGCTTTTTCTGCTGCCTTTTTTTTCTCATGATTTCTGCTCCACCCTTGTGCTGGAGTTTTGCCTTTTTTTTCCTGTAACTATTCCCAGCATTCATTGGGCTCTTTTTGTTTTGTCTGTTCGCATCCCAGCTCTCTGTCATAATTAACCAGATTGTCGGGAGCCTTTTTCCGCGTCTTTATCTATCCACTACCCCTTTCTTTTCTTTTTTTTTTTTTTTTTTTTGTTACTACCCTTTTGCCCCTGTGGGCCTGTCAACGAAAGTTGGAACTCGATCTTTCAGAGGCCTACGCCAGATTTGCGCGAGATTCGATGGTTTTCAAGTTCCCAAATGTTCACCAATTCCTAGCACCATTTCCACCCCAGCATCGTGCGCCAAACTCCACTTTGGTGACGAGTTCTCCAGGGCCCGCTTTAGGCGCAGTGTCCGTCATTCATGGTGAACTCTACTAAAATGCTGTCGGGGCCCTGGTTACGATAGCTTTCCCTTAGGGGCGCTGCTTGTCCACAGCGGTGGAGATGGTATTGGTACATAGTTCTTCTATACAGTACATACCATACCGGTATACGCGTTTTGGTATACGCGATTACATGCGTGCAAGATCAATAATAATTAATAATACTCCGTACACAAACACAAACACAACAACCGCCGTTGGATCGGATAGACCAAGCTTGTCAGGTCTGCTTTGACCATTGTGCTTTTGATATATATTATTGGCGGGCAGACACCACCAACTTCAAGCCTTTCTTTTTGCCTTCGCCCTGGAACCATCGAAAGAGTTCCAAGGTTCCTGCGGCCGTACACTCCACCTCCCTCGTATCGTCAAGCGTGGTGATGTGATTGCCCATACTACTAGTGCTATCAGCTTCTCCAACCGTTTTCCGCAGCAAAACTAGGGATTTTCCTTCAACATCAGCAGTTGATTATTGGGGAATCCACCCTTGTTCGCAATCGCGGCGAAGCGCAGAGAGATAAACTTGGGCAACCAGCTGGGAAATAAACCCTCTGTTTTGGGAAATACCACCACGACCAGATGGCTGATACAAGTCTCCCGCACGAGTTTCTCTATGAGCAGAACCTTAGTATGGCTTCATTCTAACATACCGCGTGGAGACAGGCGCAAAAGGAGAGGATCAGGAAACTCTGTATTGCTCTAGCTATCCACCTAGGCTAGCAGCCGCCAAGATGATGATGAATAATAGTTAGCAGCCTCTCCACTCTGCATGAAAGACGCTAACTAGTAGACCCCAGCCCAGCAGACAAGTGGGGGAATCGAGCCCAAGGGAGGGAGGCGGTCTGCGCCGTGTACTGCAGTCTAACATTGTACCCCTATATTTTCGTTAGTGGCTCCCTAAAATTATAGAGCTCTGCTAACCAAAATACTGGGTGGTCATTTACTTCTAACCCGCACTCTATTATTCAAATATTTCAATAGAAAACATAAGTGAGATATATTATTAAAAACCATTCTATATTCTCAGTTTTCTGAGCTTCAAAATGTTATTTTTGAATCATTCAGAATCTGTATGAATTGACATCCATCAAAATCTCAATGACCCCTCAGTATTTTGGTTAGCAGAGCCCTATAATTTTAGGGAGCCACTAACGAAAATATAGGGGTAGACCATAGCAGCTTCTAAGGTTCCCGCCTCATGGACTACTGAGCAACGTTACCGAGCAGATGGGGGAATGAATCCCTCCGTCGAAGACTTGACGATCTTAAGGATACAATTATTGACTAGCTTGAAAGCGATGGCTAAATAGTAAACAGCCGAAGAATCCCAGAAAGGACCCCTCAGCGTCGCTGGGAGGGAAACGACCAGGCCGCGAAATCCCCCGGCCGGTGACTTCGAGATGCCAGCCACAAGCGACAAAATCACTGTTGATAATCTCTATCATGTCGGGTTACTGGAGCTAACTTTTCGTTCGGGGCAGGGAATTTCAGCCACTCAGCGAGGGGCAACCAACTAGCTGGTTGCTCTCTCGTTTTTTGAGCGTACGCACAATATGCTGCTTCAACTACGGAGTACTGGCCATTTATTTCCCGTAGCAAGTCGTCATCGATCATTGCTCAAGTGCGGCTTGGGTGCAAGGAAGAATCCTGCAGTTGGCTTGCTCAAAATGAGTATCTCTTTTCCTTTCACAACTGCTCTCTCACTTACCGAACGCTCCCGAGTCACGAACTGATGAATGAACGGTATCTCAAAGGCGCATTTCCTCTTAACTTGATAAGACGCGCGTGATATGGAATATCACTCCCCAAGTGATTTTTATGATTTTTATACGAATTGCTTTTTCTCCCATTGGCTTGAACGCTTTTTTCACTAGTCAATGTGGACGAATAATATTCAGTCCTTCAACCCTCGCCTTGACATTTTCCAAGATTCTCGCCTCATCCTTTCCGACCAACAGGGAGCGGAAAGCCGTCGGGACTCACCTTGCTTGCACCTTGCTATGAACTAAGTTAGCTCCTGCTGGGATACTTATCCTGGGAGACACCATTTCATACTTTCTTGTTGGTGCCTCCTTAACCCCTCCCCGCGCAAAGTCCACTGGTGGACACATGAGATAGACAGAGATTCAGAAATTGAAAAGTCTTGCGAATGCCTGCCAAAATCTCACACCGAGAGGACCGGCTCACCCCCCTTTTCACTCACCCCCTCGATAAATGCGGGGTGCAGAATACGACGGAACTGATCGCAGTGATCCACAGATCAGAGGACTCGGGGTTCGGAAGGCGACGTCGCCAGAGGCTGAGGTGGGAAGCAAGATCAACGGTGATCAACTTTCCCATAAAAAACGGTTTTGCGACTCAGACGAAGAGGGATTTCGCGCAAACGGCTCTCGTATGATGTGTCTGTCTGACACTTTATCATTTTAAGCGGGGAAAACGCGGCTGACATCCCTCCTCCAAAAACTCTAATCCAGTCTGGACAGTTTTACTTACTTTTATTACATGAGAAATCGAGGTCTTATGGACCCACGATGAAATCAGAATAAGCCTTAGTCGTGACGCTGGCGACAAACTGGCCGGATCCCGCAACCCAGGCTATCGGGTATGGAGCCTTTTTGGTTTCATTTTGTGTTCTGAGATGGTCCATATCGAGCTCCGTCGGGTCAGATCATAGCGGATGCATGGCTGGAACATTTTTTATTTTGGCTTTTGGCGTTTTTTGGTTTCTGGCAAGGGAACCGCTCAGGAAGCGAGGGCAACACAAGCATGGGCTTACCCTTTTGATAAGGATGTGGAAACTGTTGAGTGCGAAAGAAGAGCAATAATGTCTCTTCCGGGTCATGGCGACTCCCGCATAGAAGGAAGGAAGCGTAGCCTCACTATGCAGGGAAATGCAAGTCACCGTCCTGCAATTTGTTTATTTATTCTTGTTCTGTGCGCTGTTTGTGAGATGAGGAACTTAGTTTTCGGAGAGGAAAATGACTTTTTGCTTGCTTGGTACTTTCTTTGCTATTTCTATCATGATCGTGAAGCGAATCAATCAACCTTCCAAACCTCTTGTCACGCAGATGGTGGATGCATTTTTCTTAATATATCTATCTATCTATATATAAAAGTATAAAAATCAAATTGGTAATGAGCACAGCTGACAGTTCAAATTTAGGTAACCTACGTCCGTGAACAATTGATATCGCATGCATTCTCTTGCTGTCTCAACATACATATATATATATGTACCCCTTTCATAAGGGGCATGAAACTATTACACGAAAAAGAACATCCTGTACGCGATACCGTGTCACAATACGGTATTGTATTCCACGTTTCAATACAAGCCACCGCCAGTCCCTTCCCCACGTGTTTCTGCTGAGTATCCCTGGATTTCCCAAAGTGGCTTTTTCAACTTGCTCAAGCTTCAGACAACCAGCTTGCCCATGCAGATCTGCTAGAATGCACGGGGAAGATATTATTAATCCGATATATGGGGATGTCAAGTCTTGCTTGCTACTGTACCTACAACGTTTCTTTCATCGTCGACATCACCTTTTCATCTGGGCAAATGATAAAAGACCGTTCCTTGCTAACCAGCCCATCTGGTTGCCAGCTATTGATGATGAGATATGATAGAAAAAACGGAACAGGTTGCTCTTCACGAGTATACGCAGCGTATTATTTCCCGAGAAACTCCGCCTGATCCAAGACGCTTGGGTTCTCCAATAACGACGGCGTCTGTCTGAGGGGTAAGCAAATCCGGCTCAGTCGTCGCATTAATGTCCAGTGGTTGGCCAGACAAGAGACACCAAGACTGTGCAATCGAGCTTTGCATCCCTGCCAAGTTCAACAGCCCACAATTGTGGACCTCGAAGCGGTGGGAGGGGGAGCGTTGGCAGATCGCTGGGGGAGAAAAAAAATACCGCTATTTTGGCATCAGGGAAAATGCTCTCTTCAGTGTTGGGCTAGAGAACAATATGTACCCCTTTTCCCAACGTCGAGGGAGCGGGAAACAAAATACGAATTGGGGGAGCATATGGAATGAGATGGAAATAAAATGTCTATACAGCCCACTTTCCATGTTCCTGGGAAGATCGTGGTCTTGAAGACCTCCGCCCTTTTTTCCCCTAGCAACAGAAAGCCATGCTCGCTCGTGCTTACGCTCTGCCTGGGTTCAATGGTAGTTAGGTGGGGGTTTATCTACGATGGGGGAGGGGTGAACAGCCTCCCTCATCCCCCGTCTTGGGCCTCAGCTCCTAAAATAAAAAATCTCTCGCTTCTTGCGCCCTCTCTTGCATCATCACCAATTCCCTGGTGGCAGCCGGTGGGTGCCACACTGCCAGACAGGGGGGGGGAAATACCACCGCCCTGGTCGCGGGTTCGGGGAAGGCAGGCAGCCGTTCCGCTGTTCACCCCCGTTCCGTTCGCCGCCTGCAGGCTCGTTTCAACTTCCAAGCAAATAAATCCAACAACCCCCGAAAGGCGAAGGAAGCGCCTTTTCCGAATCCCCACTCTTTCGTCTTGTGATGGATGTCTCCTATTCTAGCTCCACATAGGGTTAACTGGGCAGACGCCAATTGGGGCTAAACAGCAGAGAGTCAACAGACTGTGGTCTTCTTGTGATTATTGATAGGGGCGCATTCTTGTCGACCTTGCCCCTGACAGGGGATGGGATGGCATGTGGCTCTCCGTTCACCACGTTCCAATCGACCACTTCTAGAACTTCAGCTCTCTTTCGTCGTAGATATCAAAAACAGTGGAGAGATCGGAGGGTGGAAAAAATACAAAACGAAAAAAAATAAAAAATAAAAAATAAAAAGGCAACGCTACAGCGTAAATCAATAGAGATCACCAGCAGATCGTTCCCCGGCTCCTTCTCTGCTCTTTCTCTCGATCATCAAGAACTTCCTGCCATAGTTACCTTTGCCCGTCCCCCCACTTGGCTTTTAGAGGGGTCGTGGTGGCTTGCTTGAGTATTCCTGTCTTGCTTTCAGCTTCTTCGGTAAGTCTTAAGGAAGGAAGAACAACATCAAAACAGGAGTGAGAATCAGGTGAAATGTATGATTTGTAAAGTTTGACTGGTTATTATTACTGCTCCAGGATGTCGCCCCATAACCCAACCCTTTTGCTGACTCCTTTTAGCCCCTCCAACTGACACCAAGGGGGGATACATTTTGCTTTGTCCATCCCAATCGATTTCTCGATTTCTCGATTTCTCGCTTCTCGCTTCTTAATGCGTTCGTTCGTATCAAAGTATCAAGCGATTTTCAACCCTAGAACTCGGCATGCTATGCTCCCGAGCAGCTGGGCAGGGTATTCTTGTTTCCTGGCCATGGACCAATCAGCTGCTGCTACCAGACCTCCTCCCTTTCCCAAGGCCATGGTATGGTAGCTTCCTAGGTTAACCTTAATACAATGAATGCTTCCTGGTTCCTTTTTCCTTTTTCCTTTGAATAGTTATTTATGTATTTCGTATTACTGCGTACAGCGTATATCTCTCGTTAACTTATTATTACTCATTGTTATTTTTCATTCCCCTAGAATAATACATCGCTCTGCTATTATTATTTAATATTAATATTATTATTCCTTTCGTGTCTTGTTTTGAACAAAAATCATGGGGCTGAAGCTTCTTTCGCTGCAGGCATCGTTTTGGACAGCAGCCCAAAAGTGATACGTTGGGCATCAGTCCAACCTGCCCAAGCCCGTTGCGATGAAAATAGGTCTGTGGATGCTGTGACTTGGGAGGATCCCGATAAATGTAAATATCCATCAAAAGTAACTAAGAATCGAAGTTTTATACTCGGGTTGCTCACCTATCGCAGGGGTAAGGGATGAAGCATCTATCGCAATCAGAAGCGGTGGCTAGAGGGGCATTTATGACCGCATCTTTTCAAAATAACCAACCAGACAGTTACCCCAGAAAAGCATCAAGGTCTCTCATTATTATTGAAAAAAATGATATCCTGAGACCCCATCCGATGCCAATGTTTGCTTTTCAATAACTAAGTGGAATGCTCAGTCCTCTGTAAATCTGTAAATCTGTAAATCTGTAGATCCAACCCCTCCCAGGTTGACCAGAGAGAAGGAAGTGAGATAATAGCCTGCCTGGCATTGGCTTCGGGCAGGCTGTGATGTTTACTCGACATCTTCGCCGGTGCCTTGTGTGCCTTGGTCCCCCTCGTGTTGGACCAAACAATAATGGGCCATGTCGCCGGCAGGGAAAAAGGGTTTTGAGGGGAACGACGGACTGAGGGCGAAATTGGAAATATGACCAGTTGCGTGTGGAGTATACAGCTTTCTCTGGCGACAGATTTATGAGTTCTTTCGAGGGAGGTATTTAAGGACCTTATCCACCTGGTTTTTTTCCAATCACAAACATCTTCATCATTTTTCAGATGAGAGGTCTGATTGCCCCCTGATTTTCAAGAATGGGTTAAAACACCATTTGAGACCTGGACCACTTAGCTTTCAGCCCGCAAACTTTGATGGCGACCTGCTCGCACACGCCTCGCATTGGCTGGATGGATGGATGGCTTTTGCTGAATGGCGCACAGGGTCGTGGCCAGGCTGGTTATTATTTAATATTATTCTTCAGGCCAGTCCTGTCTTCAGGTGGCATGCGATGATGGGCTTGAGAGATATTATTTGATTGGAAAATAGTCGCCTGCCTTCCCCCCCGCCAGTTATAACATGTTTCAACTCGAAATAGAGATCGGTGAGCTCTCGGGGAGGCGTTGAGGGAGGGAGGAACAAAGATGATGGGGGGCCCTTTTCAGCCACCAAAATGGGATTGATTTTGATCCCTTGATTGATTTAATCCGTTACGAGGAACGGGAAATAATACGCAGTAAATGTCTGGAACCTCCAGTTAAGATATTCATTCAATAATGGAGTGGACACCGATGTATTATTATTATTGTTAGAATGTGCTGTCACCCTCATTGTTTAGAAACATTTTCCAAGGATGAAATAGTTCCCCAAGAGTGAGATATGATTGGAAGGTAGTTAAACTCATCGACCATTATTGAAAGAAATCAAAGGCTTCTTCAAAACCTCCCGAGATTAAAGAAACGTACCGAGTACACTAATAATTAAGGCCCCTACATCCTAGTTCTACGGAAGAATGAGAACGGGATTGAAACATCCATGAGGAGCTTGACGAAATCCCCAGGCAATTTCAAGATTTCCCCCCCCCCTATTCATCCATATTCTCGGTTCCCCTTTCAGGTGCACAGTTGAAAAGAACAGGCGCCATGGCTGGCTGCCCAGATCGTGGCTCTTTTCTATTTCTTAAGTAGCTTTCCAGATATCAGTTACAAGCCAGTGACTGTAACTACTGGAGGATTGAGGTGTCATTCTGGACAATCGGCACCCACCCGGTGGCATAACTACAACAAAACTGCTATCAGCTAGTGCCCGAAACTTTTTGGACCTCCTACTTGTTAATAGGGGGTGGAGATAGGATTCAAATCCAAGATTGGCCGGCAAGTTCATGGTAGATATTCCCTCATCGTTTTGACAAACGTTCGTTACATATTGCTCCTAGTTGGCGCAAGTTAGAGGTATTTGATTGTCTGTTCTTCTTCCCCCGCGGACCGGGCGGCACTTCGCATTCATGGCGTTACATGGAGATTTTTAGCAGGCATTCTGGCCCCTCAGCTATTACGCGTCTACAAGAATATGAAGCAGAAATTCCCGGCTTCCAGCCAATGTTGTACGCTTGCTGTAGGCTAACATTCATTCCGTGGCCAACCTTTTGGAGAAATGGGAATGACAGACATCACCGGTCAAGAAGACAACGATAGCGAAAAGATGACCTGACGTTGTCCGATGGGGTATGTCGACCACCAGAGCGCTTCTACTATTTCCATGGTATATGCTCGCTCTTTCAGGCCCTCAGACGGGGCAATTGCTCACCGTCGTGCCATGGGGCAACCCAATATAGAACTGGGCAAACGATCCGCGTTCGCGAGGGAGGGACTATCATCAAGTTTCCCATGGCGGCGTTCAAGACAGACTTTTCTGCGTATCTGCAGGCAAATCGGTTTTGTGGATAAACATCCATTACTCCCATACCGCATCGCTGTTGACATCAATCATTTTTTTTTTTAAACCCCATGGATTTGCGACAACTACTATGAGCTCCGTCGCAAGTCTCTGCCCGTCCATGCGTCTGGACATAAATGAAAACAAAAAGAGAGCCTCAAGGCCGAACATAGAAGATAAGGAGGAAGGCTCACCTAGCGCAAATTTCGCGTGAACTATCTCTTCTGCTCCCTTCTCTGATCTCCTTGTCAGCAGAATAGTGGGTTCCTTTTGATGTCATGGCCATTGCCTCCCTGATCCGCGGGACAGAATGCAATCTCCCTCATGTGATAAGCCTCCGTGAGGCCATTCATCAATGACCCAGGGCGCCCGCTCCAGGATCTTATATGAGATGCCGGATCGATCAAGTCAGATGGCGCCGTATGGCCCCTGCAGAACAACTCCCGCAAGTAAACACGTCGACTTGCTGGACCATTGTCTCTAGCTTATCTTTTTATTCCTCTTGTTTTAATAATAACTTCTTCTTCTTGCACAGACTGCCTGGAGGTAGTACGCGGCATGTGTATACTTCGGCGCCAGCCCTGCATTTTTAGCTAGTTAGCTATGCGAACCCGGAGCAAAGCAGCGGTTGGAAACTGTGGTGGAATGCTTGAATAGAGCTGCCGTCGCATACGCTTCCAGGACATGGCAACTCCGCAATATTCGCAGCAGATTAAGTGGCTCTTCGGTGTGAAGGTAGATGGCAAGTTGCAGGAGGGGTATTACTCGATCGCAGTTGTAGACGAGTGGCAGTTTGGATGCATGGACCTGGAAGCGCCGTGGGCGAATGGGCAGGTCTGTATATGACAGTTTTGATAAGTCAGCGGCTCGGATGTCGACCGGTCCGACGAAGTTCGCAGCCCTGATACAGCATCACTATATAAAGGATCTGACCCTCAGCAGCCATCGTGTTGGATATGAAAATGTGTTTGTTGTATCGACACACTAGATTGCTTCTAGCATATACAAGCGGTAATTCGAGTTTACCCGGGTGAATTAGAGCCGAACATATGAGATGCAAGTTGATTCGTTATACTACACTATGTGTCGCAAAACCAATGCAAATTGTTAATATGTAGATGGGATAAAATATAACTGCAGTCGTAAACATTGGGAGGAAACGAATAAACTCGATGAAAAGAACCAAAGGGATTAAAGTCAATAAAAACACAGGCAGACGTCTAGATGTCAGTACAAACAAGTTGCAGGAGGGGAAAGGAGAATATAGAAGGAAATAATAAATTAGAAGCGAGCA